ACAGTGGCTCACACCTATAATCGCAGCTGTTGGGGAGGCTAAAGTGAAACGACCGCTTGAACCTAGGAGTTCTGAGACCAGCCTTGGCAGCATAATGAGACCTCAAAAAAATGTAAAATTGGCTGGGCGTGGTGGCGTGTGCCTGTAGTCCCGGCTACTTGGGAGACTGAGGCAGGAGGATCGCCAGAGCCCAGGAGGTTGAGGATGTGGTTAGTCGTGATCATGCCACTGAACTCCAACCTGGTCAACAGAGTGAGACCCTGACTCAAAAATAAATAAATAAGTAAAATTGGAGTTCTTCCAGAATATTATGCTGACAAAATTGGGGCCAGCCCTAGAACCCAGATGAATTGCTTGAGTTCAGCCCAGCTCATGACACAAAAGGTTTAGATCTGTGTGTTCCCAACTCGAAGCAATGACAGGAAGGCCCAGGGTTTCCCTAAGTGCCTGCAAAGTAGCTGAGGGGTTAAGTCTACCTCATGTGGAATAGTCAGCCCAGATCAGTGTATAAATTATAAGGTTATTTAAATTGTATATGTATAATGTTTTTGTTGTGTTTTGAGTTGGAGTCTCACTCTGTCGCCCAGGCTGGAGTGCAGTGGCACGCTCCCGGCCACCGCAGCCTCGACCTGCTGGGCTCAGGTGATCCTTCCGCCTAAGCCTTCCAAGTAGCTGGAACCACAGGCATGTGTCACCACTTCCGGCTAATTTTTAAAAATTTATTTATTGTAGGTCTTATCATGTTGCTCAGGCTGGTCTCGAACCCCTGAGCTTAGGCAATCCCCTTGCCTCCACCTCCCAAAGTGCTGGAATTACAGGCTTGAGCTGTGTATGTATAATTTAAATACTAGGTGTCTAGATGGGCGTGGTAGCGTGCGCCTGTAGTTCCAGCTGCTTGGAAGGCTGAGGCGGAAGGATTGCCGGAGCCCAGCAGGTCGAGGCTGCGGTGGCCGGGAGCAGCCATTGCACTCCAGTCTGGGCAACAGAGTGAGACTCCAACTCAAAAAAAATTAAATAAATAAATACTAGGTGCAGAGGTATGTCTCTGCCGAAAGATGGCCATGTCCTAATTTCCAGAACTTGTGAGTATTACACGTGGTCAAGTGTAAAGGTCTTGAGATGAGAGATTGTCCTAGAATGCCAGCATGATCCCAGTGTAATCACAAGGATCTTTGTAAAAGGGAGGCAGGAGACAGGACGATGGGATCACAGATTGAAGTGATGCAGTGCCGTGAGCCAAGGAATGTGGGTGTCTCTAGAAGCTAGCATAGGCAGGGAAACAGATTCTTCCCTGGAGCCTCCGGAAGGAACCCTGCCCTACCTACCTGTTTGGCCCACTGAGATTGCAGACTTCTGACTTCTAGAACTGTAAGAAAGCTTGCGTTGTTTTTAAGTCCCAAAGTTTGTGGTAATTTGTCACAGCAGCTATAGGAAACTGACATACCAGGTCAATTCAGAAAAGGGAAGTATGGGCCAGGCATGGGTGGCTCAGGCCTATAATACCAACAGTTTGGGAGGCCAAGACAACGGGATTGCCTGAGCCCGGGGTTGGAGACTAACTTGGGCAACTTGGTGAGATCATGTCTCTACAATAAACCAAAAAATTAGCTGGGCATGGTGGCATGCACCTGTGGTTCCAGCAACTTGGAAGGCTGAGGTGGAAGGATTTCCTGAGCCCGCCAGGTCGAGGCTGTGGTAACTGTGCCACTGCACTCCAGCCTGGGTGACAGAGTGAGACGCTGACAAAAAAAAAAAAGGAAGTGTGGCCTAGACCAGAGTTTTTCCAAATTGGGGATCAGAGCACATTAGTGGACTGTAAAAATTAAGTTAGTAAGTTATGACTGGTGTTTTAAAAAATGAAATAGAAGGCTGGGCTCAGTGGCTCATGCCTATAATCCCAGCACGTTGGGAGGCCGAAGTGAGAGGATTGCCTGAGCCCACGGATTCGAGACTAGCCTGGGCAACTTGGCAAGGCCTCATCTCTACAATAAGTCAAAAAAAATTAGCTGGGCATGGTGACACATGCCTGTAGTTCCAGCCACTTGAAAGGCTGAGGCGGAAGGATCACATGAGCCAGCAGGTCGAGGCTGCCATGAGTGTGTCACTGCACTCCAGCCTGGGTGACAGAGTGAGACTCCACTGAAAAAAAAAAAAAGAAAAGAAATAGAAATTACCAGATGGCTTTGCACCTGGTAGGTAGTGTTTCATGATATTTATGTTTCAGATATACTTCTGGGTGTGTATTAAGTCACAATATACATGTCTACTGTGGATTGTTGTCAAAAAAGTTTGAGACCAGGTGTGGTAGCTCACACCTGTAATCCCAGCATTCTGGGAGATTGAGACAAGAGGATCCCTTGAGACCAAGAGTTCAAAACCAACCTAGGCAACATAGTGAGACCCCCATCTCTAAAAAAAAATAAAAAGCCAGGCATGGTGGCACATGCTCGTGTCCCAGCTATTCAGGAAGCTGAAGTGGGAGGATTGCTTGAGCCCAGGAGGTGGAGGCTAAAGTGAACCAAGGTTGCACCGCTGCACCCAGCCTGGGTAACAGAGTGAGATCCTGACTAAAAAAACAAACCAATCGAATGCATCAGTCCCCTGAGAGTGTTCCTGAGGAAAGATGTGTTAGCCCCACCTTGTATGTCACACATTGCCATAGAACAGCACCAGGGTAAGTGACTGGAGGGTGTTGAAACTGCTATTGCCACATTTTATAGATGACAGAACTCAAGTCCAGACAGGGAAATGACCAGTCTCTCCGGTGCCCCAGTGGTAACCAATCAGCATGTGCTCCCTGAGTGGGGAGGGGAAGGGAAGGCGAGGGTAGGGAGCGGAGATGCCGTAGTGAAGCCCCCAGTTCAACTCACCCAGGCTTGGGTGCCGGGCCATGTCACTGGAACTGATGGGAAGGGATCCCTCCATTTGGTAGTACCTTGTTTCATGGTTTCATCAGTTTCTCAATTGAACGGACACGTAGGGCTGTGTGGCTCAAAAGGGCGGTGTACAGCAGGGGTGCCACTCCCATCAGAACCCTGGGATGGGATGTGAGGGTTATTGAACCTGTCATGGGCTCGGCTGTGTGGACATCTGCCCTCCAGGGCTTTGGCTACCTGACGCATATGTGTGGCCTTGGGAGGTAGGCACAAGGTTGTCCCCCGTTCCCTCCTGCTAAGTTACTAGGTGGTGATGGATCCCTTGGTCTCAGGGAAAGGGACCCATGATCCCCCTTCTGGGTGGACACGTGTCTCTGTCACGGACAGTGAGACAAAAGGCAGATGAGGTCGGGAGCTCTGGGAAGGGTTTTCCTCCTGTATGTCCCTTGGTATCCCATGGCCAGCCAACTTGGCCATCATCTTGTCACCAGGAGGCAATGAGACCAATGCTGGGAGGGTCTGGAGCAGAAAGCAAGATGATGTGCCGGGCTCAGTGGCTCAGGCTGTAATCCCGCGCTTTGGGAGGCCGAGGTGAGTGGATTGCCTGAGCCTGCAGGTTCAAGACCCACCAGGGCAACTTGGTGAGACCTCATCTCTACAATAAATCAAAAATTAGCCGGGTGTGGTAGTACGCGCCTATAGTTCCAGCTACTGGGAAGGCTGAGGCGGAAGGATCGCCGGAGCCCAGCGGGTCGAGGCTGCGGTGGCTGGGAGCGGCCACTGCATTCCAGTCTGGACGACAGAGTGAGACTCCGACTCACAAAAAAAAGAAAGAAAGCAAGATGATGGCCGGGAGACTGCCCCACCCCGCCCCATACTGCCTTCCTTCATGCCAGCCAGTCCCTGGAGCCTCACAGTCCAGGGTTGTGGCTGCATTTCTTGGGAACTTGAGAAGGCAGGAAAGGGAGTGCAGTATCTTCATCCAGGGAACTGTGTGAGGCGGATTCCAGGAAGGAACAGAAGGCCCTCCAAGTTGTTCTCGGAATCCCAAGCTCCTCTAAACCCAAGCAGTTCCTTCACTTAAGGCTTTGAAAACTTTGCTCCCACACCCTACCCAAGGGAGCCATTTCAAAGATCACTTCTCATCATTTTTTTTTTGAGTCGAAGTCTCACTCTATCTCCCAAGCTGGAGTGCAGTGGCACGCTCACAGCCCCCGCAGCCTTGACCTGTTGGGCTCAGGCGATCCTTCCGCCTCAACCTTCCAAGTAACTGAAATCAAAGGTGTGCGCCACCATGCCCGGCTAATTTTTTTGGATTGTTGTAGAGACGGGGGTCTTGCCAAGTTGCTCAGTCTGGTCTCGAACCCCTGAGCTCAGACAATCCTGTCGCCTTCACCTCCCAAAGCGCTGGGATTGCAGGCATGAGCCACACCCACCCCCGCCCGCCAGCTGCCTCTCATCACTTATTTATTTATTTATTTATTTTTGAGTTGGA